AGGTAGGTAGAAAGATAAGACTAAGGCCTTGTGGCCTATTTAGAATGCTTTATACACTACTTATAAGACTTGATGAAGCTTAAATCTTTGATTACATAATCAAGTTATCCTTGAATAAAATCTCAATTGTGTAACATTTTTTAATTTATATTTCATATTTTTTGAGTTATCATGAATTTTTTACAAAAAATCTATTTTTAATTTTTCTTGTCATTAGAAATATAAAATAATTACCTACATAAATACTATATTTTAATTTTTATCTTCTAATATATGAATACTAAAAATCCCAAATATATATATATATATATATATATATATATATATATATTTATTTATTTATTTATTTAATTTATTATTATTTACGTTATTATTTTATTTATTATTAATTTATTTTATTATTATTTAGGGATGTTAGTGGTGGATATATATTTATATTTTTGTTCTTTTTTGCCTCTTTTATTTTATTTTTTCTTATTGCATTTCTAAAATCTTACCACTAATTGTAAAAAACTCTCAAGTTAGGTTATCTTGTCATTTGGATTGAAGAGTGAATTTTTATTCTTATTTTTATATTTAGGAGATCTTTATAAATAAATAAAAAGAGAGAAGCCAAAACTTCTAAATTCTTTCATTATGAAAAATTAAGAAGCTTTATATAATTGTTATATCTTTTGAAAGGTCATCCTAAAAGCCATAAGAAAACTTTTCATATTTTAAGAAATATTTTTTAAAAAATATTAAATTATGATTATCTCAAAGAGGTGGTTCTTTCAAATATTTAAGCAATCATGTTAAAGAATTAATAAATTATTTTATAATTCACAAAATTAATAGAATTAGAAAATAAATATAGATGACTAATTATTAATATAGTAGTATTTTATTTTTTAAAAATATTTTTTATATTATATTATCTTTAAATATCCAAGCTCTTTCAAGAGAGTATATTTTCACCAAATACAATATCTTTGGAAAGATTTTATACCATGATCTTTCAAAGTAGTTTTTTTAGGTATAAATATTCTTTTAGATTTTAAAACTAATTTTTTAAATATATTAATACGTAGATAATTTATTATTGAAAAAAAAATCAAATTAGATTCAGTTAAATTTTTTTCTAATATTAATTCTTTTTTAGATAACTTTGACTAAATAATGTGATTCTTTAAAAACATAATCACAATTAAAGAGAAATATAAAAATTTACGTAAAAAAAATAAAATAAGTTAATATAATGATACACATTATGTTTATCAAAATAAAACTTTAAAATAATATTGTACATTTTAAAAATTGCTATATCAAAAAATAAGTTATTTAATTCGGATTTTTAATAAAAATTTATTTTTAAAATATTAAAAAAATATAATTTATTTATTTTACTCATTGAAAAAGGCTTAATTTCTTTTTGAATAATTATTATTTAATCCATGCATATATACACATATAAAATAGTTATAATTTTTATTTAGTAAATTTGGAGTGTAAATGGTTCTGATTTGTAACTAGCTTATTTAAAACTATGGATATGTTTTCTTATGAGTAAAATATTATTTAAAATATATGAATTATTACTTTTAAATGTAATCACAATTGATATTATTTTTGATAGGTCTATTAAAATTTTAAAAACACATCTTTAGAAGGTGACTTTTAAATTATATATTAATCTTTATGTTTACGTGTTATTTGAAGATTAATTATCTCTATGATATTCTTTTAAGCTTTATATTAGAAAAAATTATAAACTAGTAAAAATAAGTTGAGAAAATCTTAATATGTATTTATTAAGCTATCTTAAAATAAATTATTACAAATTTTTAGAGAATATGAAGCAAAGCTTTATATAACTTATATTTAGCATAGAAAAATGATTTTAAACTTATAAGTGGGTTTCAATTTCAAGAAAATAAAAAAGACTATAAAATGAATAAGACAAGTCGTTCTATAAAATTTTAAATATTGAATGATTTAAAGAGCTATAAATAAAACTATATAATTAAAAAAATAAAAATTAAACAAAAAAAAACACTTCTAACTTTTTTTTTATTATTTTCTAATATCAAAGAATCTTTAAGAAATTTAAAACTTTTTAAAGTCCTCTCTTTAACACATGGTTGCAAGCTAGTCTACTTGAGAGATTTAGGCACATTACCTCTATAATAAACTAATTTCTATCTTCAACTACTATAGTTTTGTATTGCTTTAATTGAAGTAAAGTGTCTTCTTTCCTTGTCTATTTAGTACTTGCTCTTTTTGAATTTGAAAAACTTGGTTATTTTTTAAATTATCACAAATATCAATTTTTTTAATCTCTAGAATCTTTAGAATTGGAATTCAACTTAATATATAATATACAAGAATGTAATAAAAATTTTAAAAAATTAACTTAGTTATAAATTTATATATTGTTTAATTCTAACACATTCTTACTTTATTTACAATTAAACAAAGATTCCACTCCTTTTACTTAACTTCTATTAAACTTATGTGATCTTTCACTACAATATAATGCTTCAATAATTGCTTTTCATTCATATTATCTATTTCCATCTTTATCCATTCAATCTTCATCTTTCATCTAAAACCATATTTATTCTAAGACCTATTTGAATACAAACATCATATCTTGCCAAATATTAGTTATGATTTAATTAGTGAAATTGATTCAATTGAAGAGCATAACTTGATTAAGTCCAATCTTTGCTACATTTACTTAACATAGTAAATATTATATTAAAAATAATAAACCAAATAAATAATAAATAAATAAATTTTATATATATATATATATATATCCTTCAACTTTTTAATAATCTATTTTAGTTAAATATTCTTAAATTGTTGCCTAAGACTTGCAACTCTTATAAAGTTAGTACTAAAATCTTTATTCTTTAGTGTATCATTTTACCAAGAACATAAAAATAATAACATTTTTAGAATTCTTGTTCATGAAAATATACAAGATTTTTTATTATTCTTAAATAAAGTTATTTAAATATTTTATAAAATACATTATTATTACTTTAAAAGATCAATTAACTAATCTTTGAAGACATATAAAATAATTCTTAGCTAATATATTAATGGTAGTACTTAAAATTAAATATGTGATATATTACAATTATTTTTTTCTTAATAGATACTGGATTTTTTTTTTTTTTTTTTTTTTAATCAATTTTTAAAACATACATATGTATGTGTGATTTGAGTTTTTAAATTATTTGGCTTACTTTTATTTTATGTCAGCACCTACTTAAATTACTAATAACTTTTGCTTATACTTCTGAATTTCTAATATCATTATTTTTTAATTTGAAAATGTCAATTTAAAGTCCAACATAATCTTCTAATTTCATATAATTTTAAATAAACTTAAATGCATGTAACATTGTGTAAACAACTTATATCTTAAAAAAATTAAAGATTATCAAAGAAGATTCTTCGTGATTTATATTATCAATACTTAAGTATAATAAAAAAAATATTAGAATGATCTAAAATTTTATTGATTGTTAAATGTTTTTACTTCTAGAAACAATTCTTATAAATAGATTTTTCTATAATATGTTTAAAAATAATAAAAATAATAATAATAATAATTACAAGAAAATAACACATGAAAATAAATAAGATTATAGTATATATAAAAATCAATTTTTATTTTGAAATTTAACAAAAACAAATCTTTCTAAACTTTATTATTTAGTCTTTTTTATTGTTCTTAAATGTCTTCTAGCTATAATTTGATGGTTTTTGTAGCTTATATAATTTGTTTTGTAAGATAATATGATGCAATATTATCAACACATAAAAATATAAATATTATTAATAAAAAAATTAACCTTATTTAAAATTTGAAAGGATGATTTTAGATGATAGCTTAAACAATATTTTTATATACAAATCTAACAAAAAGTTAACCAAACTTCAATAATCTTAATAGAACATTGAAATATAATGTGAATATTAATTGTATGGTTTTTCAAATGATATAATATATATTCTTTCATTGATTCCTTTTGATTTGAATTAATGTCTCTAAAAGGTTTAAATTCTTTTCTTTTTTTTTTGAAATTAACTAAAACTCAATATTAATAAAAACTCATTTGTAAAAATAATAAATTCAAATTTCAGTATATATTGGAAGTGAGTATATACAATTATAAATTCAAAAGACACAACATTATAACCAAATTATCAAAACCTTCTTTCAAATATAGTTTTAAGTTTGTAATATTTTATACAACATTAGAATGTATATTTTATAAAGAATAATTTTAGTTTTAGTTTTTAAACTAACCAAGAAGTCTTGATATCAAAATATATGTATATATATATATATATATATATGATCAAATTCATCAATATTTATTATTGAGAACCTTTATTTTCAATGAAAAAATTTAGAATTTCAAAACAAGATATCATAAATCAAAAAATTATTTTTGCAAGATTCTCATCAATAATTTATTTTCAAATGAATATTTTTTGTAAAAAAATGTAAATAGGCTGAAGAAATAATTCTGCACCTTCTTAAACACATAAGGTGCACAATTATTTAAATAACTCTAAAAAATCAAAAACATAGTTTTAATTAGTGTCATTAGACAGATTTTTTCATTTTGTTTCATTCATATAGCTTGGAAATCATTATATGTTTTTGAAAATGAAGTTGGTGCAAACACAGCTTTGCAACTTAATGTCTTTCAAAAGAAATTAAACATCATGTCTATTATTGATTACACTGATAAGGCACTGAAGGGCCTGCGATTTGAATAATTTTGAAATAATGTATCTAAAAAAACTGTCAGGAGAAGCCATTTATTTTTCCTTTGTTTGAATTATTCACCCTTTCTGTATACATCATTCTGACTAATTAAGCGTGTTAACAGCAGAAACGTTTGCTGGTGGGGGAAACATCTGGAGTTTGAGAGGGTGGTAGTTCGTATCTCACCTAGTTTTGAAGAAGGATATTGAGCTCCCACCCTGTAGTATGGATGTCATAGAGTTGATCATTTATTATCTTTGCCGCTAAAAAAGGCACCTCGCCCAATGGGCACAATATATACGGAAGGACACAGCTCCAGTGGTAATAGAACTAATTAAATGAAAGTAATGAGAGGTTGATTGCAGCATGAAGTAGCCCGAATCTAGAAAATAGAAAACTGCCGATTTTTAAGGTACCCAGCACAACAGCTTGATACAGAGCAATGCTCTAGGAAGAACCTCAAATTCCGTGTCAACTAGTGATACCTACTCTAGAGATTCACATTCTACATACAAAGTCTATGTCAAGTCCACCTCAGAAACAAAAAGCAGCAAATTATTGGAATACAGACCCTAGTCCTTGATTATGGTAACAAATTTGACCAATAACCCACTAAATTTTCTGCGAAACCTGGCGATAAATCTGGGCAACAAAGTCGGCATATCCGGTGGCCCCCGAAGATCGGTCCTCAAGTAAATTTGAAAGCACAAGAGTTCCTTCCAGTGGTTGCTCCCCTTGTCTCACTGCTGTGCAAAGTTGATATACAGCCGGACAACTTTGCCGGAGTGCTTGCAGAGAGGACATCAACCGTTTCGAGATTACACTCTCCTGTTCGACTAGTGCAATCTGTGTGCATATCCAACAGAAACGTCAATTTAAATCGACTTCGTGGCGTTCACTACTAGGGATAAACTAATCAGGGCTTCACATAGTTAAAGCCTGCTCAATAGCTTAAGATACAAAGTTGGAAGAGGTTGATAGGGAGGTTATGAAGCTAATGACTGAACCTGTCCAGAATACTACATTCTCGACGCATAGCCACACCGAAATCAAAATACCAAGCGGTGAATAGACCTAAACATTACTCTGACTCAAAGACCGAAAGCTCAAATTCTTTTAGGACTACTGTAAACTACACAAAGTTAATGTATAAGGGAGGAACAACCTTGGTGGAATCAGTAGTATATGCAGCCTCAGGTCCGAGCAGATCTTTCACAAATTCAGCAGGCAGAACCTTTCCTAACCACAAAATAAATGATAACCCATCATTTAATAAAAATGCTCCGCGCGGGTCAAGCTGTTCTGAAGAAAGAACCAAAGGAGCAGGCAATCCCGCAGGACCATCACCTCTCGAGTCCTGCAGACAACAGACAACGTTTTGTTAGTAGTGTTTCATAAAATACTAGTGCACTGCCTGTTATCTGCGACTGTTACACCTATCCCATGGGACAGTGGTAATAAAATTCCTAAAAATGTGCCAAAACTAGCCCCAGCTAAATCAGTAAAGAAGAAGTAGCTTAGAGGCAGTGACACTACTTCCAATCAACACATGAAAATGGTAGCCATACACCGAGTTGCAGAACATGATGCAAGTCATCACTGGGACACCAAAGCTAAGCCAGATAATCACCTGCAAAAGGTACTCATCAAGACGGATGAGTGACGGGTACAGCAACCTCAGCAGTCTTGGTATGGACATTGTCATGATTTGAAATCCCATTGCAGACCTTTGATCAGGTGAGCAATCTCCAAAGCCACCTCGAAGTGCCATATTTTTAATTATAGCAAGAGTGTAAAGAGGAAGCAGCTTCAAACTCTCGGGGTAAATCAACCTATTGCTTGTCCGATGTTGAACTGAAAACAACTTACGGTACTCCTGCAAGCTTCGAACCAACCGCATTTGACAAGCTTGACGAGAATCTTCAAGTTTTGTTTGCAGCGTCTTCTCAACAGCTGCACCCGTCGGAAACCACAAGCATTTCCCATGAGACACACAGCCTATGGATGGGTGAAAGACCATGAAAACGTCATTTGGCATCAAATTTTTACACCTACTAAAAACCAGCGTTTCCAAGACAGCAATATTAAGTGCAACAACCTAAGTATTTGATGCAATCAAGCTAGGCTACGATGGGGTTAACAGCACAAAACCACCAACCCTTCCATCGCTTGAGGCAACAGAAGAGCGAATGACTAATAATGAAGTTTGTGTATTTCCGTGAATCCCCATCTTTGCCATGAATCCTTGGTCTAAACAACTGTCAAGAGAAAAGCCTGCAAACTTACCAAGCCTACTCATCAAACTAGCAATAGCGCCTACATCAGCTGCTTTATACAACTCTGACAGCTCGTTCACCACAGGAGTAGCCATAGTGTGCACTCGTATCCGACGCTCCCCTGTTGAAGAGGTATAACTGCCGCATTCTTAGTCAAGAAAACAATGGGATAGAGAAGATAGATTCAAAGAATAAACACAAACTGTCCCCAAGATTAGCTATAACCCACCTATGGCTCAGGTGCAAAATTGATCCCAGAACTGCTATGCCTTCACATACTAAACTTTAATCTTCATGTGTGCTCCACACCATCCTCAAAAAATACAAGGAGTCCTCAATACAGAACTGCATAGTAACCATAGCATGTCTAAAACGCGCTAACAACGCTATAAAAAATCAATGAAATAAATGTGCAGAGTACAATGCGATCGGACGTAGTAGACAACAAACAAATGTACAACAGGTGGATACAGCAGGGCGACTTGGAAGTAGACCGTCTGCGTGGACAACAAAGTGTCTTCCAGCTGGAGCTGCATAGCAAAAGCCTTGTCACAGTCCACAGCAGGAAGAGCCATAAGGTCCGAACTGCGTAGCATGAAGTGGCCGTGAAATGATGAGAAGCGTATTCCTGCAGAGAGGCACAAAGCAAAACTGTAAGCCACTTACATGAACAACCTATTGCATACCTAGAAATGACAACTACTGTAAAGTAGAACCCAAAGGACAATAAATTGAAGCGAGAAACAATATTTTGTGACCATCCCCAAAAGAAAATCCATCACGAAGTACATCACGAAGCCGCAACGTGATTAAACTACCTTTTCCACACCGTATTCTCATGACAGCCTCCCAAGCGGTTTCTCTTGAAAGATCTCGAGCAAGGTCATAGCTGAATTTCTCGCCATGCAGCAGGGCAAGGAATGCAGGATAATAACAAACCTGTCCTCCTGTATACTTAGCTAATACACCTGTCACATACAAACTCAACATGTTTTATGCATATTACACAAATGAGCAACTCTCTTTAAACCTTCTAAAAATGCGCGTGAAACCTTCTAGAACCAAAGCACAAAATAAGAAAAGCTCTACGGAAGTAGGTTAGGGGGCATACCCAAAGAAGCTATATCAGTGTAACGTTCACCGAAAGCATATATGTTAACAGCGATCTGATACTTCGAAAAATCAGCAGCCATTTGTTTATAGAACTGCTCTTCTGTGCCACGAAGAAGGTGCTCTTTATCCGTTCCATAGATGCGAGGGTTGTCGCCTCGAAGCTTCAGCCTTCCCAGACCAAGAGAGGGCAAAGTACTCTGGAAAAGTAGCAACTTCCCTCCCAGCTGGCTCTGCAGAACCAATTCAACCCCAAAAATTAATACTATCCTGAAACTAATTGTATAAATTACCATTGCTGGGATCTTACATGAATCATAAAAAATCAGTAGCACGCAGACTGTGACAGAACAGTCTGAATGAGGCACATCCAATTACTCCAAAAACTTAAAAATTAATAGTACCATTAATTGCGAAATGAACAACCAAATAACGTTTAGTAACTAAAACGTACCATGACCATGAAAGTCGCTTTCAGTGCAGGCCCAAGAGCCGACTCGATGTTAACATTATTTTCAAACATTGAAGGCAGGCTATCAAGCAGAGTGTCCACAACACTCCTAGACTCCGACAGGTTCACCAGCAAATCGTCCGGAAGTGGTAGAAATGGATCATCAAGGTCCGCAACTACCATCATTTGCGGTTGTGTCAAGGAGGACTGCGACGCCAGAATATCAGAAATTCGATTGTTGGCAATAAGTCGTACAAATCAAAATAAAAAGGTCCAAATACTAGAGTTCATAATCCTGCCATACAACAGTCTGACTAGGCTAACGAAAGAACCACAGTATAATTTCAACTCAACTTTTCTCAAGGAAAGCCACAAAACAGTAATACCATGCACTTACAAGTTTCTAAAACCAATCCTCCAGAAAGTATCCTCTAAGTAACATTGTAAGAGTATCAGATTTAAAAGCACGTTTAATACATCAAACTCCAGACGTTTCCATGTACATCGTACCAACTGAAATCGTCACGTAAAACCCACATACCTTGAGATTGTAGAAGTGCAGAGTGCTGTCGAAGGTCATAAATCCTATCTGAGTCCTAGGAAATCCTAATAGTTTGTCCAATGATGCTTTGATAGTCGCTGCAGCAACCTGCGCCAATTGAACAACACAAATTTTCATTCACCCGACATGCTTCTCACTCCCAGAATTTTGATACGTACAGTTTCCATACAGACAATAATATGGACCTCCATTGCACAAAGGAGTCTTTTGTGCAATAGAGATTTGTATTACTGTGATCATTACATTTACTGTCAGAAAACTTGTGCTCTTGTCAATGGATTGTAGATCATGAAAACATTTACCATGACCATCCCAGAGTTTATTGCTGAAAGGGAGACATCAATGAGAAAGAAGTACACGGGCGGCATTGGTGGCCGAACCATGTACTCGGTTGGAGCCACAAACTCCACACTACCACAGGAAAGCTCCGGCCTTTCGCCGGCATCTCGACGCCGTCCGTTCTCATCCAGAGGACAAAAGTAATCCACAGGAACTGCATGCGGTTCAGCACATTCAGTAAATGTCAAGAATAAGGTGACAACATAAAGAGAACTTCACCAGAGTCCCACATACTAAACTATGCAGATCACCAAGAGAAGGAGGAGGAGAAGAAGAGGAAGTGAAGTTTTAAAATAGAAGATCCTGCTCCTGTCCAATCCCTCTCAGGTTTAATGAACCTGGAATCACTTCGAACACACCTTCATTTAGTAGTGAACACACATTGCAACGCCACCGGCGCCCTCCGTCTGTAAACATCACATAAGCATTGATGTACGTACGACACCGTCGACACCTTACTATCGTACCTGCAAAATTCACCACAGGAACCTCCTCCTGCACGAAAAATACATGGAAAATTTGGCCACATCATTTTTCCAAACCTTACATCTCATTCTTATGTACAAACAGGTCATAACTTTATGAGTACTTTCGCCTATCTCATGAAAAGCAAAGTTGATACAACAAAACATAACACTAAGCTTTCCAAAATGCATTAGCAAGTCCTTTACCGACATGATACAGCACTTTAAGTCAATATCGTCCCAGTAAACAGCAGCTTTAGTCAGAAGCGCAACACAACAGCACAAGTGCAGGTTGCCGCCAGAGTCTATGCAAACATGAAAGGTTAATCATCACTAATTGGTGGATTAGGGCTGAAGAACCATACCCCGGGTGGTGCCTCTGCAAGAGGATGAGTAACAGCTCCAAGAGGCAGATGCCACCGAGACATTAAAGAATGAGCATTTGGCATAGCATTGATTGTAAGACGTAAGTATCGAGGATTACAGTTTAAATTTCCACTTGGCTTCACTTCCTCCGCACCGTCAAGCGGCCTTGGAAGTGTGGCTGGATCTACAGTGCTGTCAGGTGATCCATGTACAGGAACCAAAGCAAGAGATTGGAAATCTTCGACCAAACCTTGCACTTGATGGTAATTTCCACCATAAGAGCTTGCTGGCGGTGGGTGGCTGTACGCGCCCACTTGGCCATCACCATAGTGCCCTGCCGTCGGTGGAGGAGGCGGCCCACCGTAAAAATTTTGTGACGAGAGAGGGGCTCCATATTGAGGAGGATTCATTGAAGAAAACTGGGGAGGTTGGGGGATAGTTGACGCAGACTTCGGTGACTGTGGCATGACATTATACTGTTGCCCTGTTGACACTGGCTGCGATGATGGCGATCCAAACTGAGGACCCAGGGGTGAAGGAGCCTGTGAGGGATTGCTAAACGATGGCCTGCTGCCTGGAGGGGGAGGGAACACTCCAGAAGGTGGTGGAGGCCCAGGATTCATTGGGAATCTTGCTGGAGGACCATACCCTGCTCCCTGAAGGGGTGCTCTTACGCTACCACTCGGTCCAAACCGAGGACTCCCCACAGAATTTGCTTGCCCAGATGCTCCCATGGAAGCTAAATTTGGTGGAGAAAAAGAAGGGGTTGGAATGGTGACGGGAGGACCTGCCATGGGCGGACCTCCGGGGGGCGGAGGCCTGGCAAAGGGTGGAGGCAATGGACCAGAGACGAGAGGTGTAGGATTGTATGGTTGATAACCTGCAGGAGGACCTTCCGGGCGATAAGCTGAAGGAGGTCCTACTGGCAGAGGAGATATGGGATTCTGAAGTTGATCTGCCAGGGTTTTCGGTGCTCCAGGGGGTCCAGGAGGTTGACCTGGAACATGCAGTCGAAACTGAGGGCCAGAGGCGCCACCTTGCCATGTTGGCGGTCCAGCTCTTGGTACTGAACCTAAAGCCAGATGCAGAACACGTTCAAAATTGTAAAATTCTGAAGGAACTACAACATAGGAGGCCATGTTGCAAGCAGCACAACCAGGCACAGTGCCCGACGGTGATGAGGACTTGGAAGGTCTCAATATCTTAGATTTTTCTGAGTAACAGTTCGTTGCCATGTGACATGCAAGAAACACACTCAAAATGCTGCTAACTCTGGAATAACAAACTAATACTTGCACACATTTCCTGATTCGTTTTGAAACGAAGTGATAAAAGAACGTCGATAAAGTTGGGAGAAAACTAGGCCCAACATTTTGGAGCTACGAGAAAGAGAAATGAGCAGTACCAGGAGCTGAAAAAGGTGAAAATTGCGGTCGAGCATTGGGATTATTAGGGCTGTTAGGAAACCGAGGCGAACCCGGGTTCCCCCCTTGCTGCTGCATATTCTGTGATCAGCCTCAAACTTCAGAAGTTGCACGGCACATTTAAGATATTGTGAACTCAAGCATCAATGAATAAATAAACGAAAAAACTAATAATTACTAGCACACAATGCAAGTACTCTAAACCTACAGCAACGAATCATCTACCAAATCTTGTTACAAAACTGTGGAGTGTTCACGTCGCGACCAGAAATTCGATGACGATCGTAACACCCATATCTATCAATCTACTCTCCAGTGCAATATAGTCAAAGATAAAAACATAAAAAGAAGAAAAACTAAAATCGGCCAGCAAATTCTTAGAAACGTCCACAAATACTACAACTACCTCTACTGAAAATCCACAACCTAATAGCTCTTATACACCATCTAGCGACCTCTGTACAACACTGCTTCTTTCCTTCTTTCTTTCTTTCTTCCAAAACGCAGCACCAGAGCCACGACCACTATCTCACAGAGCAATCCATCGACACCCCCAACCAAAACATCCTGCGATTCTTCAAAAAAATAAAATAAAATAAAATAATACTCAATAATCAACATCCAAAAACCACCCGACTACTCGGCGATCTAATTCGAGCAAGGCACCATACCGCAAGTGATTTCGCTACGCCGCGAGCTCTTCGATTAAAGAGTCTTCTTCCGAATAGCTCCAAGCTCTGGTTGAGCAACAAACATCCTCCGAGCTTGAGCAAAAGGGGATCAGCTTGAGTGCAATCAGAAGAAGCCCTGCCCCAGCATTCCAGAAGAATCGATCAGCTGAGATGGGGGTTTGGGATCTCTCCCTTCAGGTCCAAAGTCGTCTCGCAACCTCTCTCCCCCCCTCCCTCTCTTCCCTCGCTCACTGCCACGCTGTGCGGTGGTAGCCATTAGGGCTCCGAGGCGTCTTCACCGAGCCATGCTCACCGATCACTCATCCATCCATTCTGCCATACATTCATCTCATGTCTGACCTGGCCTTGGACGAACGTGGTCCCTCTCCCCTCCACATCTGGTCTTCGTCCATCCTCTTTTAATTATTCTTCATTGGGACACGTGACACCGATGGATTGCTCCGAGGGGAACTCACGATCAATATGATTGGCCGAGAATGATTCAACTGACGCTTGAAATCAGTGTGTAATATGTAGTAATATGAATTAAATTTGTATATACATATATATATATATATATAAGGAATTTTTAAATTGAACCTGAACCCTAAAACCCGCCCATCAAATTTTTGAGCTCCTCTTTTCATTGGTTGTGAATCCAGCAGTGGAGAATTTTTTGATGATGGTTAGGATGGGTGGGTAAATATAGTAAATGCCTAAGTTGATCAAACAATTCCTTTTTCTATTCATATATACACACACACAAAAATAAACTTGAATGAATAAATTCTCAGTTTTTTATACATAAAATTGAACTCTCTTATTTTTGTATAAAAGAGATGTAGGTTTAAGTTTATGGCTTGTTACACAATAACCCAATCGATAACAAACATTGACTTTGAATGATTTCCTACCAGTGATTGACTGGTTTAACGATGATAAATTGGTATGGAGTTTGTGCATGATTTGTGAAAAAAGTCTACTTGAAAAATAGAAGTAAAACAAAACAAAATGTATTTATCAATAGATATGGATATTCTACACTTGCCTGTAATTGAATAAAGTGGAATGAGTGGACATAACCCTGTTCTCAGTCTCTTGAAATTGATGGTGGAAATGAACATTAATCTCTTCATAAGAAAGCATTGAAGCTTTCCATCAAACAAGCCAACAACAACACATCCTGGGCCATACTTTGTGACAGAGAAATTCTCTGTGCTAAATGAAGTAAAATATAATTCTACTACTACTGTGTACAAATAAAACATCATGAAACATTGTGGTAAAGAAGAAGTTTTGAGCTTTTAAATCCTAAAGAATTCAATTGTTTGTAACATGACATAATCAATGTGATGGTTATGATTCAGAGAATTAAGTATTTTTTAAATAATTATTGCTCATGTAACAAATTCTCTAAGTTCTTAAAATGAAAAACTGTGATGATATTATTCTTTTAAGCTAAATATTTAAAATAGTGATAATAGTGGAATTTTATTTATTTATGATGTTTTACATATTAATCAAGAATAAAGATGATTCACACTTGATGGGACTGTAACAGTTGGTTTCTTTTATTTTAGTTTGTTTTTTTAGTTACATATATACATGTATTTTGGCATGTAAAGGCGAGATGGTTTACTACAAAATTAAAAACAACTTATTGTTATTATTATCATTTCAGCATGTCAAAGTGTAAATTTGAAAATTAAATTTTTATATTATACAGACTTTAGTTTTGTATAACAATTAAGTAAATTCATGGTATGTGTAAGAAGGACTTTAAACCTATAAGCCTACTTTGAAAAGCCATAATTCAAAAGCATTACCAAGGTTTCTGACTTGGTGAAGAAAAACTCTCTTTTAGAAGCCTTGAATATTGTATAGAGTGTAAAGTGAGAAGAAGCCACAAAATATATTAAATAATTATTTTATTGAAACTCTAAATATGTAAGTTTACATCCTTTTTCTAAAAATTATTATATATATATATATATATATATATATATATATATATATATAACTTGGTTTCTTTTTTTTTAAGCAGTTATTGTAAACATTTTTTGACATAGCTTATCAATTATTTTTAAAAACTACCTCTTCAGATAGACCCAATGGAAATTTTGGAAGACAATGTATTCTATGCCTTACAAATAAATCTCACCTCTTCTTTATTTATGATATTTAAATTAATTTTTCTATAGATGAAGAAAATTTAGTGAGGTTTCTTAATTTCAACCAATTAAAGTATGTAAAATATGTAAAAGGTGACATCTCACCCTATTTCTTTGATATAAAGACTATTTAAATATGTATTTACATAATAAAATCAAAATCAAAATCAAAATCAAACATACATACATAAACTTTTAAGTAAATACAAAAGAAGATCATGAAATTTCAAAAACAACTCACTTGACATGATTCCTCAATTCAAGATATAGTTTTGACAAACAATTTTAAATCATATCCATTGTAAAATTTTATAAGTTATTATAAAAAAACTCATTTTTCATTTTTTTCATTTTTTTTTTTTTTTGTTAAAACATGTATTATTTTAAAATTTGGTTTTTTTCTATTTGAATGTTTATCACAGTAATATTAATTCAGAACCAAAATGAGTAAAAGAACCACTAATATTTAATATTAGGATAAACTATTAAGTTTAATGAAGTGATAAAATATTTACTTTATAATTATTAGTTTATTATTAGCTTTCTCAAAAGAATTATAGAACATTACTTTGCAAAAAATTCAAAATTTAAATTTAGTTAAACAAATAGATACACAACTCATTTTTAAATCATGACAAGTATTAATAATTATATTAAAACAAATCTTATACATACATTTTAAACTCTTTTGATATTATAGTAAATAAATTATTATTTTAAATTAGATATGTTATTTTGTAAATAATTATCCAAGTTGTATTGTTCTTTATTGCACTTTGGATATTTGCTTTAACATGTTATTCTAAAATCAAAGCAAGAGGCACCAAAGCAAGCGCATATACACATACAAATCACATAATTAAATAGAAACCTAATCACATAATGTTTTTACAAAAGAATGAAATATGAATCAGAGGGATGATGTGAATAAGATTACGGTTTTGAATTGATATTGTTTTCAAACTATGTATATGGGTTTCAATTCAATTATTGATGTTCTTACTCACAACATTGAAAAACAACATAGACTTTATTCTGAAAAACTGTTATGTCTTTGAAATATTATGAAATTCAGTTTTAAACATGTATCAACCAATACAATTCTAACAAACTTACCATTGTATAAAAATATCAATTGTCTTAAACTGTTATTTCTTTATTAAATTCATGGGTAATGTTAAAAATGGATTAACTCTCAATAATTCAAACAAAAATAAGAATAGAAACTTAATAAGAAGAAAGGATTTAAAAATAAAAAATATGAAAAGGAATGAAATATAAAGTGTTTTATTTGTTACCTTGTTTGCGTAGTGACCATGTTCACAGGCATGCTCTAACCATCTCGAAGTATTTGATCATGAAAATAATTATATTGTCAATCTCAATTTGAATCGACTGAAATAAACTGTATTTTACAAATACTAACATTGGAATATCTTAAACTGTGTCACACCCTTAAAACCAACTTGTAGACTTTGTTAGAAACCACCCTTGCTCAAACCCCAAACCATTTTGACAAATGTTGAACAATTTGGCATCAATTGCGTCCAACAATAATTGGCAAACTTCACAAAGATGAAGGCGGTGGTTAAGTGTGATAGAGGTGGTGGTATCACCTATTTTAAAGGACGGTTATGTTCCAGTTTACACATTGGTTTGGGGTTCAAATGCCAAATCTGCTTTGTTGATTTTAATCAACTGAACCAGAAAAACAATTCAACTTCTCCTATTTCGGGGCACATCAAAACATTATTTGTGCACCCAAAAATAGAATTCCAAAAAATATCTCCTAGAGTAGCTATAACAAGCTTAGGTAGACAGTTTAAGCTGATCCGACGAAAGAAGTCTCTTCCACAACTTTTCTGTCTGTTTGCACACTGTTAGTTTATTTACCCATATTATTTCTAACACAAAACGAGACAAACAAAGACAAAAAAAAAAGGTGAATGCATAATACATTTACAGATAAAAAAACCAATATGTAAGAACAACCAATTATACAAACATGCATATAAGCAAACAAAGCGTTCTATCTGTTGGTGAAAAGTGTATATGTTTCTAAGCACAGGCAAATAATTTTCCACTACTGTTATAGAATCCACCTGTATTTCAATCGTGCATTAACGTGAAATTTGCATATTTCCAAATACTTCCACTGCTGTTGCACATCTTACAATTCTATCATTCACTGTTCTCACTTTGAAAATCGAAAGATTCAACACACTCAAAAACACGTGATACCAACCTTATGACATGTTCCACATTTCCACATCCGAACTCTTTCGGTTTGCGTGATTTCATCGATTTTCTGTTTTCTAATGTCCCTTTTCTAAATTTATAATAAGGTTACAATAAATCAGCCTAGATTAGGAAAAGCTTCACCCGGCCATGGACAGAAGCACCAGCCTAGAAACCATCCAACACTGAATGAAGAGGAACACTCGCCTGGAGCAATGGCAAGGCGCATCATTCAGTTGTGGCTGATGCATGGCGTGCACTAACATCGAGACAAGAGTGGTACACAACGTCCAGGATCAGCAAAGAATAGCGGTGACGCGTCACAAAACGATGGATACAATAAGAAAGGCTGACCGACTCCGCGGACGAAAACACAAAGAAGTCACAGCCCAAGTACATGGCAAGCTCTGTCCACACGCATGCGCACTTGGCTACCACATTGGAATCATCTCTGATCGGCTACGGGGATCTGCTCTTTAAAGTCAGTGAAATTCGGCTTGCAGTGACCGGCGAGAGCACCGGGAGGATCGATGAATCTCCCACTCAGAAAGGCAAGTGCTTGCAGACGGTTTTGGTGTTCGGTGGGGTGGATGCCGTCCCAGCTGATGTACTCCGAAGGATGGGAGCACACAGTTGCGTCCGGGTGCCCGCAACTCCTGGCGGGATCGTAGTTGTAAGGGGTCGGACGAACTCCGCAGCACGCCTGAATAGTATATTTGAACCCTGCGGAGTATCGCCATAAACATCGAGGCACGAAACATGTGAGAATTGTGAACATTTGATCACCCTCTCTGGCTCACTATCTCTACTTCGATTCGCAAAAACTATGCTTTTTCAGTATTTGGAAGCAAGGCATAC